ATATATATATATATCCTAAAACCAAAAAAAGTTTTTTTTTTCTATTTTCAGGTGTATTTTTTGTTTTAAATTCATTTAATTGATTATTTTAGTAAAATATTTAATCTTAGATACAAAAACTTAAAGTTGTAGATACATCTTGTTGATAACTCAAATAATAAAATTTAATATAAATTTCTAAAGGTAATAAATTTATATAAAAAAAATTCTTCAATTACAATTATTTGTATCAAAATTTTTATCACCAAAAAAAATTGTATAAAATTCTGTAAACTATATATATATGTGTGTGTGTGTGTGTGTGTGTGTGTGTGTGTGTGTGTGTGTGTGTGTGTGTGTGTGTGTGTGTGTGTGTGTGTGTGTGTGTGTGTGTGTGTGTGTGTGTGTGTGTGTGTGTGTGTGTGTGTGTGTGTGTGTGTGTGTGTGTGTGTGTGTGTGTGTGTGTGTGTGTGTGTGTGTGTGTGTGTGTGTGTGTGTGTGTGTGTGTGTGTGTGTGTGTGTGTGTGTGTGTGTGTGTGTGTGTGTGTGTGTGTGTGTGTGTGTGTGTGTGTGTGTGTGTGTGTGTGTGTGTGTGTGTGTGTGTGTGTGTGTGTGTGTGTGTGTGTGTGTGTGTGTGTGTGTGTGTGTGTGTGTGTGTGTGTGTGTGTGTGTGTGTGTGTGTGTGTGTGTGTGTGTGTGTGTGTGTGTGTGTGTGTGTGTGTGTGTGTGTGTGTGTGTGTGTGTGTGTGTGTGTGTGTGTGTGTGTGTGTGTGTGTGTGTGTGTGTGTGTGTGTGTGTGTGTGTGTGTGTGTGTGTGTGTGTGTGTGTGTGTGTGTGTGTGTGTGTGTGTGTGTGTGTGTGTGTGTGTGTGTGTGTGTGTGTGTGTGTGTGTGTGTGTGTGTGTGTGTGTGTGTGTGTGTGTGTGTGTGTGTGTGTGTGTGTGTGTGTGTGTGTGTGTGTGTGTGTGTGTGTGTGTGTGTGTGTGTGTGTGTGTGTGTGTGTGTGTGTGTGTGTGTGTGCGCGCGCGCGCGCGTGCGTGCGTGTGTCTGTGTTAATTTAGCAAAAACAAAACTGTATATATGTTAATATCATCTATAAGGGCAAAAAAAATTAGCATATATATACAAACCAAAAGGCTCCAACCTATGATAAATATCTGATTATTGTTTTATATTTTACTTAAATTACTTGTAATTTATCATAAGAAAAAATAACCTAAATTAAATTATATCCTAATGCAAACGGATTTTTCAGTTTATGATGTGACTTTTTTTATAAATAATTTAATATTAATGTATTAATAAAATATTCAATGATATATACAGAACAAGAAATTTGTATATTTATATCTCATCGAGAACATAAATAATTTGAAAAATATATAAAATATAAAGATAGTAAATTTCTAAATAGCTTTTATTTTTCAATTACAATTTTTTGTTTCAAATTAAGTTTATAAACTATATATATATATATATATATGTGTCAGTATCATCCTTAAGGGAAAAAATTAGCATATATAAATCAAAATGTTACGGTCTATGTTGAAAATATTGTTATTAAATACGTTTTTTACTTAAATTACTTGTAAGCCCCATAAGAAAAAAAAAAGTAATCTAAATTAATCTATATGTATAATTATGATAAAGGCCATAAATATTTTTGTGTACACATTTCTTATATTATTTTACTCTTTTATAATCACTTCTAATTCTATTTGCATAGATTTTACTCTCCAAATTTCTCTCGTATCATAAGTAACCACATGTATTTTTAATAATTATTCATGATTATATAATCTTTATTATTTATTATTATTAAAAATACTTTACGGAGGCAAAGAGTATCTTTTGTATGCTAATAGTAATAAAAAAGATTTATTTTCTATTATAGGATCTAACTTTTGTTTAAAATAATTTAATATTAATTAATTATTAAAATATGCAATCATCGGTTAAAAAAGTTTTAGAAACATTTTAATATAATTTAAATAAATTATCAAAAATTTTAAATTATATATATGTCAAAATCATCTTATTTATCATACATAAATCAAAATGGTATAATGTATGATAATTATCTTATAATTAATTGCATTTTAACTTAAATTACTTGTAAGTTCTCAAAAGAAAATTATAATAATCTAAATTAATCTATATCGTAATTCAAAAGGATTTTTTTTTTCCATTTTAAGGTTGTAACTTTTGTTTTAAAATAATTTAATATTAATTAATTAGTAAAATTTCAAATGATAGATAAAAAAAATTAGATACGTTTTATTAATAATTTAACCAGTACAAATA